ATGAATCATAATATGATATTATATACGGGGTGTTCCATTTGAAAAATCAAAGAAGCCGCTACTTTATAGTAGAAGCGACAACGCCGCTTCGTCTAAAATATTTTAGGCGTGTAGGTCATATTGACTTATGCATACTGTGAAATTTTCAAGTTGATCCGTTGAATAGTTAGCCGGAAACGGCTAATTAACGCTCATCATGAAAAGCCCTGTATAAATAGTACCTACTGAATAGATTTCTTCGCCAAGTGTACACTTATTTCAGTTTTCATTTACCAGATGGCGCTTACTTATTGATTCCCATAAATTACAGTGTTTTTGACCAAGAAAATAGAAGCATTGCCTAAATCCTTAGACAATGATAGAAGTTCATATATTGGATAGGTATATATGAAGTATAGAATAACTAAAAAAAAAATGGGATTGTATAAACTTTTTGTGGAATTTTTGTAAGCTAGCTTATTAAGCTTATTCAATAAACATTGGAGTAGTTCCTTTAGGTTGAAGGATAATGGACGTTTGTGTATAAACACTAAAAGTGCATGAAGTTTTTAAAATAGTGTTTTTCAATAAGTCGTAAAAAGATAAATGAATTTCAAACTCCTCAAATGAAAAAAAAATGTAACTTAAAATTTGACAAACTTGTTAATTCAATATCTTCTTCATATGTAGGTATAATCACACTTCGAATGTTCATCAAAATGTATTCCTAAAATTTTTTTCTAACACGTTTTTCAATGCTCATCATAGAATGTTTGGGCTAAACAAATAAGTTTTTAAAGGAGCATGAAAGGTTTCTTAGAAATTTAGGAGAGTTTGTAACATGTCAGCTGAAGAAACAAATTCCTGCAAGATCTTTGAACATTGTAATTTGCTCTCCTGGCTGCTACCCAGCAAATGTATCATCGTCTTCTTCTCAAAATCGATGCAGTTACAAAGCGATGCAAGTATATTAGGAATATCGCAGGGATATATGCTAAGTAAAACGTTGAGTTGCATATCATGTTACATTACACGATAGGTTTTTGGATGTAGCAATTTCCATTCAAATTGACTTTTGTCGGTGTATGTGTGGATGAGTCTGTATCGGACAAATATCCTGTTTTTTTTGTTCTCCTGCTAATGAAAATTTTGATCTAATGCAAATTATACAACACAGTATTCAGAGTCCAGTGAGGGAAGCAGAACTTTCTTGTATTCAGATATTTTCAATGTTGAACAAAAATATTCCCAACGACATCGCAAAACTTGTCGCAACAGTGCATTATGACATATGTCGCAGCGACGTCGCAAATTTTTTCTCAGAAAATTTGCAAAAGTTGTCGCAACAATTTCGCAAATTTTGTGGCACAAGAAGGACAGAAATACGTCGCTGTAACATCCTGACCGCTTGGACGTGAAATCATACGTCACTTTGTGATATACACAGAACACTGAAATATAAATTCAGTAAAATAGTGAATGAATATCAAAATGATCAATAGATCAACTTATCTTAAGGAACAATTTGTTCAGGCCGGTCTCAACTCCCTACATTGTAGGTTAATGGACTGACACCTATCAGAATGCAACTACTCCCCTAGATAATACCACGCAGGGCATTGTGGAATATATCCGACAGGTGTGCAGTCGATGATTTCCGTAAATTGCAAATGGAATGGAAAGGAAAAAAACTTCAAATATAGTCAGTGTGCATACTTGAAGACTGGCTATAAATTAATGGACTGCAACATCAGTGCAAGGTAGTGTTTATCATCAACAGAAAGTCGATGATTTCTTTCAGATGATTTTATTCATAGCCAGTCTTCAAGTATGTCCACTGGCTATATGTGATGATCAATATATAACATAAGAATTCAACATATGAAAATAATTATGCTCCAGATCCTGAGAAATGGAAAGTTTGTATGAATGCTTGGTACATATAAAATATATTATAGAAAGGGCCAGATTTATCGCTGAATGGGGCCCGGACCACGCATAAGATGAGAGCAGGAGCCTGAGATGTTGATGACATCACACATACCTTCAGATACGTTTCAGAATAAAATACAATGCAATGTTTCGAAAACACTTCCTCCGCCAGAACAAAAATACTGTCCCTTGACACGCTTTTCGCTAACCAAGTTAGCATCATCAGGAGATGTAAGATACTAACTTGGTTAGCTAAACGCGCATCAAAATAGTGTTTTCGTTTGACAAAATTCCATGCAATCCTTTCGTGTGAACTTTTCCTTTTATTAACATCCTAATAATTATGTATAACCAGTCGGCCAGATAAATAACTGGTAAAAAATCGAACCAGTCTTTGCCATCTAATTGTTCCAGGTCTTTCGCATTTAAGAAGTTAAAAACTATTGATGAACTCATTACCTGTTCTCAAGTTTTTCACTTGTGAAATAACGAAAGTCAATTGAAATGAATCAGAAGTATTTGCAACTTTGCCCTCTCTGAAAAATATATGGTGCAGATAATCGTCACATAGAGATTTCTCAATAGAGACGAACCTGGCGTGGAAAGATAAAATCTTTTGAATTCACGTTCATTTAATTGATTTTATTTCAAAATGTACTGGTGTAAATTAGGCAAGATTCATTTTGGTTTAGCAATTATTATAATCTACATCCTTGGGATATACACTGAATTCAAAATGAATGTTTCTGATATTGAATAAGGGGATGGTGAATTTATATTTTTCATTCGTAATCTAATTGAATTATTTTTCAGAAAAGGCTTCGGAAAAAATCATATACACTTGGGAGGAGACTTAACAAAAATCATATACTCTTGAGAGGAGTGACATGACATCTCCACTAAATTTGAACGAGTTTCCAGCTTCAACTTCGCAATTCTAATAAGTTCAACAAAAATATAAATTGAAGTCACATTTCAAAGAAACTGTAGATCCTCCAAGGCATTGGCATTATCCAGTTTATCTGCATTATCTACAATGAGTCTTTCAATATTCACTTGGTCGAGAGCTTCTTGAATTTTCAACTTCAGAGGTTTCTCTAAGGCATCCAGTATTTGATATCGTAGTAAATTCGGAAGAACATTGACTCCAAACTCCACTGCATAATCTATAGTTCCTAACCCGTCGAATCTAATCTGAATATTCCCTAGTTCAACTTGTATGTCGTCCAAAGCAGGGGGTTTGCTGGTATCCATACTTTGACTAGCATTGATCTGAACCTGAAAATATCAAAACAATCATTTTAAAACTTAAGGTGAAGGATACGAAACTATCATGAAAAGCAAATGCTATAATATATTGATAATATAATTTAAATACAGTTACCACTAGTTAGTACCACTGAGAATTCTCGTTTTTTTTTTATTCTGAAGGACTACATTTTTGTTTATTGAATTTTGATATGATTGAATAATAGAGTACAGTTTGTAATGATATTGATTGAGTTGGAATGAACTACATGGATTCCTTTAGAAAGCAACTCAAAATTGAACGTACAATATGGTTATTACTGATATTCGACATATCAAACATATGAAAAATCAAAGCAGCAGTCATTGTGAATAGGATTCACAATAGAATCAACATGGATAAAGGTAATCCTCACAGATGTATGATAATTATCGATTCTAGTTGCAGCTGCAAGGAAACACATCGAATTTCATCATGAACAAGATTAACAAATAGTGTAGAAATCTCAAAGACCAAGATTCGAGTTGTCTAAACTCCTTAGAATAACTTCCAACATCTTTCGAGGATAATTACACGCTATAAAGGCAGGTATGTATTCAGACAGCAGGACAATACTTACTCAAAAGTCTTACACCATCTAAACCTAACTTTAAGAAGCAAATAACCTTGATTAAGAAGCCAGATCACAAAGGAATATATTTTAGATAAACAGTATAACTTTTGCCGTAGTTCTAGCATTCTTGGCATAATGGTAGACCAAGGAAGTCTTTCAATTCGAGATTTGCAAGGGCCAAAGCAAAAATACAGGGGTTTCATAAAGGGGCAGCTTCCGAAAACAAAAAAGACTTTCAGAACAAGAAATGTAGTGTAGTAACATAAAGAAATATTGAAATGGGCATTCTTATCCTTCAGTTCATTAGTATTGAGTTTGGTGTGCAATGCCTATCAGTTGCGTCAAATTGTTGAGAACATAATGTATCCAGATACAGCAAAATAACATGTTGTGCAGTGAACAGTTATAATTGAAGTGTACACTTTGATAAAATAGATTCATGAAAATACTCATATGAGCGGCTCACTTGTGAATAAGATTGAAAAAATAATTGTTCCTCTTCAATGATGAAAATGAGTTCAGTTTTATTTTTGAGGAGATTGAAAGTCGCGATATAAACGTAATTATTATCATAGTTTTCAATGTCAGTCATCATTAATCTGTTAATTTGACAATGACATAATTATAAACTGAAAAGGAGAATGGCATCATGAGCATGTTGGCATCAAAAGATAGTTATCTAAACTATTTAGAATCCAATCAATAAGTGATCAGAAGAGTGTTTTTCGTACTCACTTATAATGAACCAAAATTTAATGAAATAATTGGTACGTTACCCTGATATAATTGACACTAAAAGACACCGTCCCAACTTGAGACACCATTCCTGCTATCAGAGACACCTCCCAGTTACTGGTTCCTTCCAGAGTCCCAGTTCCAACCTGCACCAGCATATGTACAGTCTTATTTCGGAGTTCGAATATAATATCTTTCGTTCTGTGGAATGAAGAGAGCCCATATAACCACGTGTGAGTGAGATAAATATCTAATAAACCCACACTGTTGTTGTAATCGGGAACATGGTAAGGATCGTAATTCATCGATATAACTTTCTTCCTGACTTCGCAAATCAGTTGATCAAATGGCGAGATGGAGTTGGGAAACTTCTTGGGAAACTTTCTCAGTTCCTTGTTGATGTCGCTCCTCATATTTGTATTGGCCTCGCCTAAGACGAAGGGTTTGATAGAATCGAAGACAAAAGTTCCAACAGAGTTCATTACTCCTGAAAATAATAATGGTTCAGAAATATACTTATGAGTCACCTCAACTTAACTTGTCACCTCAAGTTAAGAATGATTGATATTTACTTGAATTTCACAATATTCTTCATTTACAAAAATAGAGAGGATTCTCTTATAGTAATTTTGAGTTATTTGTAAAATTGCAACAAAATTATTGCCTGCACAAGATAACAATTTTGGGAATTTGGAATAGTACTGAAGATATTTGCACTAATGTATTGTTAAGAAATAAAGACTTTGATTGGATATCAAAAATGTGAATACTACAGTCACTCTTGAAAGTTTAGAAAATATTCAAGTTAGTTACTCGATTTTCTAATATTTGGCAAATAATACCTGAACTATGTACTATGAACAAAATGTGAACAAAAACATCCCATAAAATTTTTTCGTTCTTTCTATCCTTAGAAAAGTTTGTAGGAAATTGTCGGAAAATTATCAGAAAAACTGTTTTCAGATTTCACGAATCTGAGGTGTTTTTGTTTCGATCTGAAATTATCAAAATAGTTTTTTACCCATTTCTAATTGAACCGAGTAATCAGACATTTTATCGCAAAAAAACGTTTGAATCCCAGCCCACAATCACAAATTGTTTACCAATTAAATACATTTCCAGGTCAGCAACTGTCTTGATTTGTTTACCACAGAATAGTTTTCTCTCTCAGCCAATTGTCACAGGCTGGCTTTCAAATGTTTACCACAAAAATAGTTTTCGTACCCGATCGACTGTCCTTAATTGCTTATCACAGAAAAAATGTTCCGAGATCAGCAGACTCTCTTAAACACTCAACTATGCCAGAAAATACGTTTCTAGCTCTGCCGACTGTTTTGAACTTTTTTCATAAAAACGCGTTCCAAGCTTAGTAGGCTGCCCTGAATCGTTAACAATGGAAATACGCTTTTTTGGAAAGAATTCAAGACAGTCGATAAAGCTGGGCATATATTTTTCGGTCGAGTTAGTTGACTTAGCTACTAGAACTCGTTAAAGTGAAGAAAATTGTTTTGGGAGAAATTATCGATATTCTCTACTTCCTTCGGGAAAATTCAATGTTTGCCCCGTTTGAATAATATTTCCTGAAGTATATTCATAAAAATGCGTTCCAAGCTTAGTAGGCTGCCCTGAATCGTTAACAGACGATAGGTCATTAATGTAAATTAAGAATGAAAGTGGGCCCAGTAGCGAACTTTGTGGGACGCCGCAAATGATTTTACCTTCATTTGAGTATGAAATGGTTTTGACCATCTGGGTACGATCTGCTAAGTATAACTCAAACTTCTTAAGACTCATTCCAGTTATACCATATCTACTGAGTTTCCGTAAAATAATTTTATGATTCACGCAATCAAATGCTTTGGCTATATCACAGAAGATCGCAGCCACCGTTCCTTTGTCATCTATGTTGGAATAGACATTGTAAAGAAATAAAAGTATGGCATCGGAAGTGATTTGTTGCTTTTGAAAACTGAACTGGCAATCACTCATTATTTTGTTTTCATTCAGAAAGCAAAGGAGTCTTGTTTCAACTAATTTTCTATCGATTTAGCCATTGCATAGATAAGAGAAATTGGACAAAGACTTGATGGACCATTGATGATATCTCCCTTTGACAGTTCTAACACAATCGACTTCTTAAAAAAAACTGGAAAGATGCCTTCTCTAAATGAATTATTTATTAGACCAACTAAAATATCAAGTATTCTTATAGGAATATTTTCTAGAATTTTATACAGATTTCTTCTGAACCTGTGGAGTTTTTATTTTCAATGGAAAATAATGTTTCATGCAGTTCGGTAATATTTGTGTCATATAAAGGTGTTCGTAACTTAAATTTTCACATAGTCTAAGGTCTAGAGGGTCACCGGCTGCTTTTATATTTTTCGTCAAGCCCTCGGCAATAGAGCAATAGAAGTCATTAAGTGTATTAAGTGTAATATGGAGAATAGTTTTTCGAATATGAAAAATAAAATTTTCCTCAAATCCGCAATACTTGCTAAACTACTGAAGTAGTGGAAAACTTGTCTCTTGCTTGCTCTATTGTAGAACCGTTTGTGATATTTTGGAATATTCTGATAATAGAAATGTGCCTGTAGTTTCTTTATATTACCTGAACTAATGACGGTATCGAAAAGTACCTTCATTATTTATTTCAAATATTAATCCTGTTAATCATTTGTCTCGATATGTTTCAATATTCCTAACCTTCAAGGAGTTATTGGCGAAATTATCAAGTATTTAATTTTTCAGAAATACGGAAATATCATTCTTACTATTATTATATTAATCGAGGAAAGTTACTTTGTCGCTTCTTAAGACAAATTATAGTCTACTGTCGTTTGTGAAATAATAAAAAAATGCCTTTTTCATTCTCCACCATTTTTCAATTTAATAAAAAACAAACCAGATGAAAGATTTTTTATGTACATTTTCATATTTTTCTATATCCGCTATCATAAACGCCTGAAAAATAGTTTTTTCTTTTTCAACTTTTTTCATTTTCTAAACTACTCAGCTACTAAAACTTGTGAAAGTTGCAGATAGACGGACGTATGGTCAGACAGTCGGGGTCCGTTCGGAGACCCGTAGTACACTACTATCAAAGGTTGTAGTATAAAAAAATGTTCTACTTCTACTACTTACCCTGAAACATGCTCGCAAAGAACCCTAGTCCTTCGAAATTCATTGCAATTTCTTTAAATTGTATATCCATTTCCATGGCCTGAGCTTCAAGCATTCCATTAACTTCCACTTTCAAGGATGCTACGGCCACAACTCTGACCTTCTTCAAGTTGACTGTAAAAGGACCATGTGCCTTTGATAACCATGTACTCAGAGTATAATTCCCAAGAACATTTAAATCGTCGATTGTCAAAGCTGCCTGGACTTTCATCTGTGTTATGTCTACTACGACATTGTCTATTCTGAACTTTTTCAACCCGTATAATTTCACGTTTTTAAAGTTCATTCTCCCTACTGAAAATGACTGTTTCATGTCGGGAATGTCCATTGGGTCTGGTATGGGGGCTCCCGGTAACCCAATAGGATCTGGTTGTTTGTAGTGCTCCAGAATTTTCAAAACAGTCTCACTGAGTTTCTTTTCACTTTGTTGGGTAATCTCTCCAGCGTTGTCAGCTGCCAGTTGTGGGGGTGTCCCTATATAAAGTAAAATATTTATTCAACCGCGTACTTTGGATTGTTGTTTTGCCTAAAAAATTTCGTTGGTTCATTAAATATCGTCATGTTGATATATACTATTCAATTTACAAGATATAAAAGTATGCTGAGTATAAGAGTATGTTGCAATGTAAGTGATTTCGAATTGGGGTGAAAGTAACCAGGTTCAATTCAATGCCACAAAAACCCAGGCATTGGTTTTCTCCAAGAAGATAAATGTTTCAGAACCGTATATAATAATATCAGGTCAGAAAATTCCGCTTTCTGCTTCGATAAGTTCGTTGGGGTGAAAATGGACATAAATATGTCTTGGCACAATCATGTCGCTGGAATTGCAAAGGCTGCTTCTCAAAAGATTGGAACACTGTTCCGAACCAGAAAACTATGCACACCTCAGCAACTTTTGATACTTTATAAAGCTCAGATCAAACTTTCTTTGGAGTATCGTTCTCATGCATGGAGCTCTGCCCCCAAACATTCCCTGAAGTTGCTGGATTCCATCCAGAAAAGAGCCATCCGCCTGATTGAAGATGCGAATACGCAACATATGGAAACCCATCATCAAGCGAAAAATGGCCAACTCCCGCCAAACGGTCATCTCCCACTGCACCAGTGAAGCGGAAAAAAAGGAAAGCGGGGATAATGAAAGTTCTCGAATGACCCATAAATAGTCATCTCTCGGAGGAATCAGTCCAGTCATCACTCGAAGACGATTGTAGATACTAACAATCGAAACGTCGTGAAATAACTTGGCTTGGAATCTCTTAGTATTTTATTTTATTTTCTTTTTTATGTCTTCATTTTTATGTTTTTGTTCAATTGTTCTATTTTTACTTGTATTTTATTTCACTATTGTTTTATTTCAGGTTTTTTGCTTAATATAATTGTTATTTTCAGCTCTTCATTCTTAATTCTTCTTTTTTAGTTGTTTCAGGGATTTCAAATCATTTTATATATTAGACAATGGAAGTCCGAACTAGTGAAATTCAATTCAAATTTACTTGTGATACACTATTTGGAACCTTTGGTGTAGTAATTAATATTACTGGATTTTTTCCCCAACACCAAACTGTTATTTTAACACCTCGACACGTGTTTCGATCACCAAGATGATCACTTGGTGATCGAAATACGTGTCGAGGTGTTAAAATAACGGTTTGGTGTTGGGGAAAAATACTCCAGTAATATTAAGGTGAAATTTATTCAGTATGAATACACATGAGGAAGCTCTTGTATAGAGAAACACGTGTTGCGGTTTTGTAAACTGTTTACTGAAAAACTCACAATGAACTGTTACAGTGAATGTAACAGTGAATAGCTCTGTTTCGATTTGCCATAGATATGAGTTGAAAGAAATCGAAGAAGCAGTCAACAGCCTCCAGAATACATTTTGTAGAAAAACATGAGAATTTTTTTTGCATTTGTTTCGAGTTAGCTAATTTTTTTTGTACACCTTTTCTAACTTCTTACATTTCTCGTTGGCTATTTAAAAAAGAAAATATGTTTCACAGTGATCACCCAAAGAGAGGTGATCATTTTATACTAATGATTGAATTGTGACATTTTGATTAAATCACGTTCAGACCAAACTTCAAAAATTTCACGTCAAACAGAACTGGTGGTAAGCAGATATGATTTCAGTGGTATTTAATACCGAATAAATATTCAGTAGTTTGAACTATTTAATGAATATATGGGTAACTTTTCAGCTGTATCGGACTTCAGGATTACTTTCTCTAACTTGCGAATCACCAATATGAATATTGTGCGTAAATGTCTCATTCGAAAATGTTTCTAAAAATAAATATCTTACTCACCATCACTTTTCCCGGCAGCAAATAGCACACACAAAAAACATAAAGCTCCCCTCATATTCCTATATTGAAATTTAATTTAATCCTACTACCCGTACATAAAGTTGGGTTGTTGATTTCGGGACGAAAGCTTATCAACTAACTGGGTTTCACGAAGTCTGTGTCAAAGTTCATAGACTCGAAGGATTGTTATCTTAATTGACGTCTTTCATAATGCAATGAAAGCAACGAAGATGTATTAAATCAGTCACACAGATATTCAACGTCGGCAAATTTTTCATTTTCCTGGCTATAAAATTGGATAGATGTGTGTTTTTCATCATGATAAATAAGTAAGAAGTTCTTTTCATCCAACAGAATCTCGATCTCAACGTACATCCTGGTTTTCGTTTAATTAAATAAAGTTAATTGCATGAACAATGAAGTCATTTAATTATATCCACAATTAAATAGTGTAGTTTGCAAACCTTCAGAGTAAAGGCCTCCTGATTTCAAATTAGAGAGTTCTCAATGAACTACTAAATTCAATATATACTTTTTACATAATCTTAAAAGAGAGGAACGATAAATAATAATAATGATAATAATAATAATCAGCAGAGATCACCTTACTTCTGCGGAAACACAAGGATGAGCCAATGCATGGGGTCTTTTTCAATAAAATTGGAGATTTCGGAAATCTGAAAGGTCTGGAGATCTGAGAAAAGCGCCTGACGTTCGCTTTTCTCAGGTCGAGTGGGCTGAAGTCGGAAACTGAGGGGTTCATCATGGCTTGCCAGGATGGTGTCTTTAACACCTTAGTCTACCGCAGTCGCGTGATGGATATAGAGATTCCTGACACAAGGTGCAGGGCCAGCAGCGAGGCGCTCGAGACCCTAATGCACTTGCTATCAGCATGTCCAGCATATGCGGTCTCGGCCTATATCCATCGACATAACGTGGCCCTAAGAGTGCTATATTACCATCTACGGCACTCTTACGTAATTGACGAGACACCGGTGTTGTCCTACGCTCCGGGGGAAATTGAATCCGTTGTGGGGAACGAGAAGTGCCGAATTCATTGGAACTACTGGTTCCCCACCCTCAGGCTTATACAAGCTAATAAGCCTGATGTAGTCCTTCTCGACCACCAGAGCAAAACGATATTTGTCGTGAAGTTTTCAGCCCCTGGCCGGACGAATATCGTCAAAAAGGAGAAGGAAAAACGGATAAAATATCGAGATTTTCTCTTCGAACTCTGCAGACTCTATCCAGACCACTCTGTCAAGATAGTTGTTCTGATTACACAACACAACAAAGTTTTTGTTTCGGGGTTGAAATTAGATGATTTTAATGTATTTCCACGTGTTAAAACCGAAAGTGACCAACTACTCTTTAAGATTAAGTACTGTGTATCTCAAAAACCAGAGCTAATAAAAATTTTTCATTGTTATTTTCGTTTTTATCACCCCAAAATTAGTAGAAATTGACTAATTTAGTGTAGGAAACATTCAAAAAATATTTTTTTGTTGTGTTGTGTTATTGGAGTCCTTGGTGAAATGATGTCCTATCTTCTCTCGAATCTAAAAATCATACTGGCTTGCCGCACTAAGGCAAAAATCTTAGCCGCACAGATGTAGAATGCTATCATTCTTGGCTTACTGCGCTTGCTCAGAGCACATGATACTCGGACCCAATGATCACTTACCTCACGGTGTGGGGAGTGGTCATTGGTTGATAATGCTGGCGCGTCTTTCCGAATGTATCGGGGCTTCAGGGGATAGAGCCTGACCAGCGCACACTACGGGATGATAATAATAATAATAATACGGTACTCTTACGGTATTGACAAGACACCGGTGTTGCCCTACGCTCCGGGGAATATTACATCCGTTGTGGGGAACGAAAACTGGCGAATTTATTGGAAATATTCGTTCCCCACCCTCAGGCTCATACAAGCTAATAAGCCTGATGTAGTCCTTCTCGGCCACCAGAGCAAAACGATATTTGTCGGGAAGTTTTCAGCTCCTGGCGAGACAAATATCGTCAGAAAAGAGGAGGAAAAACAGATAAAATATCGAGATTTTCTCTTCGAACTCCACAGACTCTATCCAGATCACTCTGTCAAGATGGTTGTTCTGATTATTGGAGTCCTTGGTAGAATGATGCCCTCTCTTCTCTCGAATTTTAAAATCATACCGGCTTGCCGCACTATGGCAGAAATCTTAGCCGCACAGATGCAGAAGGCTGTCATTCTTGGGTCACTGCGCTTGCTCAGGGCACATGATTCTCGGACCAAATGATCACTTACCCCACGGTGTGGGGTAAGAAAAGAAGAACGCAACTTACCCCACGGTGTAGGGTAAGTGGGGTTGGTTGATAATGCTGGCGCACCCTTCCGAATGTATCGGGACTTCGGGGGATAGGGCCTGACCAGCGCACACTACGGTGAAAAAAAAATAATATAACATAATAATAATAAACACATTGATAATGATACCGCAGTCGCGTGATGGGTATAGATGTTCCCGACACAAGGTGCAGGGCCTGCCGCGAGGCGCCCAAGATCCTTATGCACTTGCTACCAGCATGTCCAATATATTCGGTCTCGGCCTATATCCATCGACATAACGCGGCCCCTAGAGTGCTATATTACCATCTACGGCACTCTTACGGTATGGACGAGACACTGGTGTTGTCCTACGCTCCGGAGGATATTGAATTCGTTGTGGTGTACGAGAAGTGCCGAACTTATTGCAACTATTCGTTCCCCACCCGAAGGCTCATACAAGCTAATAAGCCTGATGTAATCCTTCTCGACCACCAGACCCAGACGAACTTTTTCGTGGAGTTTTCAGCTCCTGGCGAGACGAATATCGTCCGAACTCTGCAGGCTCTATCCAGACCACTCTGTCAAGATGGTTGTTCTGATTATTGGAGTCCTTGGTGGAATGATGCCCTCTCTACTCTCGAAACTTAAAATCATACCGGCTTGCCGCACTGAGGCCGAAATCTGAGCCGGACAGATGCAGAAGGCTTCATTCTTGGCTGACTGCGCTTGCTCAGGGCACATGAGTCTCGGATCCAATAACCACTTACCCCACGTTGTTGGGAGTGGTCGTTGGTTAACAATGCTGGCGCGCCCTCCCAAATGTATCGGGGCTTCGGGGGATAGGGCCTATCCCTCGAAGCCCCCCGCAAACTATGGTTTAAAAAAATAATATTAATAATAATTGATTTACCCTGAAATAATTTTACAAAGTTTACATCTAAAAAGTATAGATCGTAGATAGAAGATAAAAGCAAAATCTACAAAAACCAAGAGGCTGTCAATGGTTTCAGTATAACATATATAAAAGTATGGTAAGGATATAACATATCTAAGCTAGTCTCATAAGGCCATACTGTTGAAAAGAATGAAAGACCGTTGGTATATTATCTTGCTGGTGGGAAAGCAAAAAATGGATGTTCTCGAACAGCATATAACATTGATTTTATTAAAGGCAACTCAAGGGTCAAGGATAAGAAGAATAATTTGTGTTTACTTGTGTATGATTAGAATAATAGAAGAAATAACATTCGATTGCATGAATCACATTTCATTTTTTTTTATTTCGCCCAATAATATAAAATAAAATTCAGATATGTCGTTTACAACGTATCCAAAACATTTGCGGTTTTTGAATAAACTAGTGTTTCAACAATACCTACAAATCATTTTAACTCACAATAACTATTAACGTGAGGTAGTTTATACATTCATTATTATATAAACATGATATATAATAAAATAAAGTCTGTCTGCATGAATGCGACGAACTCAAAAATAACGAATAGATTTTCATCAAAGGATGGCGTATTTCAGGAGGAAAGTGCTTTTTTATAGTTCAACAATTTTTTTTTGGTGAATTATGAAAATAATACTTAGGGTGAAGCTGGGTGGATCGATATTATTATATTATTATTACAATTATTTGAAGATGATCACCTGATGACCGAAACAACGAAAACAACGCTTTGGTGTTGGGATGAAATTCCAGTAATATTCATTACCCCACCATAGGTTCCAAACAGTGCATCACATTGAATTACTTCCACCTACTTACTCTAAAGTAGAACTATGCATTGACCTCAACAATTTCCAGATCTGAACCTCTTTGATCGGGTGTGAATTACGATACAAATACATGTCATGCAGGGAATAATAATATCGACAGTGTTGTTTCACCTGCCATAGGATTCATCAATGGTACTAGGTCGAGTCATGTATACACTGGAACGTACACTTAAATGGGTAACTATGAACATCAAATTCAAGAGAGTGAGCGTGTTGTTTTAAGTATTCCTTTATCTGATCACTAGTTGAATATGTGGTTTTTCTTTTTTTAAGAATATTTTTTTAATATAGATAATTGTATCACATTAAAATCACACGAAAATGATCCCACAACCCTATATCTTTCTTTTCACGATCTCAACAAATGTAGAATATTATTGAAGTGTATTTTTGATCGGAACTTTTGAACCGGCAACACTGTCAAGGAATATAAAATGATGAATGCATTTAACTAATAGGTACTCTTGTTTCCCGGTGAGTGGATACTGAAGATAAGCCATTTGTCGTTTTATATTGAGTTCAGTGTTTGATTCTATAAATATGGTAGTAAAACATCACATAGAAGGCTATGAAAATTTCTGTGACTTTTTCAAAAACTTTGACAGCAAAGGACAGTTGGTTTTTGTGTACTTTTCAGGTACTAAATTACCAAGTGGGGAGAGTTGGTGTGATGATTGTCAAAGAGGTAAGTTGTTCCGTCATCTTGTAGGTATTTGATAATTTGATAAGATTATGAAGCGTATAAATTTATAGGTTAGGTATGCGAAATGTGACATTAATTCTCATAGAATGCCAGCTAGTCAGCCGTGTTGCCAGAATTCCCACGATGACTAAAACTAGGGAAACTAGATCATTGTTTTTGTGAAAACTTCCCAAGGAGGACCTTGTTCAGGGAAGTTTTTCTGGGCCATAATTCGTTCATGAATCATCAGTAAATCACAAAGAGTAATGGAAAGGAGAGGAGCCAAAAAATATAAATTTGTGACGTCACCTCTCAACGGTGTTTTCAATTTTCACTGGCGTTTTCAACTGTCAAAACGTGTATAGTGTGTATACAAAGTAATGCTCAGATTAACAATCAAGAAATGTAACTTTCTCAATCCACTGTAACATTTACACACGAAGTATCGTTCAAATTTTTCATAATACCAGTAAGCAAGATATTATCTTTGTTAATAAAAGAACCGTGAAAATGATGTATCAAAATTCAGTTTTTTCTTCATGTTCATCATTATTTGTCTTTGTTATTTTCGAGATTTCGGAGTTCTAGTGACCGCCACTTTCATCATTTTTGGTATCAAAATGACCACCCCAATATATGAGGGATCATCATTTTGAATCAAATTTAAAAAATATACTCCTTATTTCAGCATGGCCTGTAGTTCAAGAAGAAGTTGAGAAGGCTGATCCCAAGTCCCATTTCATCTATGTTGAAGTAGGCGATCGACCTACGTGAGTATTCCTAATCAAGTTCAGAAAAATATCAAATTATTCCCAAAATGAGGCATTAGTTAGTATCACTAATCGTATTACGTACTAATCATATTTTTTATTCCTCAAATCCAGTTCAGTAGTTTTGACAGATCCAAAATGTATTGAAAAGTGAGGGAAATAAAAAATTAAAATTTAATTTAATTTTCAAACGTTCATATCATTCATTATCCATACAATGTCTAACATATTCCGTCGGTTTTGGCCTGACGTTTCGTCTGCTACTGCGGCAGAAATCGAAAGCGATGCGGTAGTGGTCGCGTATCACAGCAAGGTGACTATCATTTCGACATGTACATTGCATTTGATATCTACCGCAGGTGCACACGAAACTACAGATAATAATCCTGAAAACATGAAATAATTTTATTCAAAATATTTATATTTTCAGATGGAAGGACCCAAACTGTCCCTTCAGAAAGGATCTTAAAACAAGACTTATGGTGTTGCCAACAATAATGCGATGGGGTTGTCCTCAAAAATTGGAAGGTGACCAGTGTGAGAAAGCCGAGCTTCTGTCCATGTTATTTACTGATGAAGATGACTAAAATTCGCATTCCAGAATGATGCCTTATTTTTTTATCAAGTAATTTTGCCAGTGGATGAATAAAACTCAAATTTTGTTCAATTATGTCTATCATTTGATAAAATCGGATCCTCATGTATTCTAGGTGATACGTGCAATACTTATTGTAACGCAAGACTTAATAAAAAATCAATATTCAAAGTCACTGTTGTCTGATTTACAAAATTCAGTCTATTTTAGGAAAAATGTTTTCTAGAAATATTTTCATAGATAGTTAAAAATCCATGGAATCCGTTTCATCAAGAGCAAGCGGGAATAGTAAATTATTTTTATAGTGTGTTTATGTGCAACATTATGACATCTTGAAACAAATATTACTTCAATCAATTGAAAACATTTTTCCCAAATCAGAACAAAAGAACTATCTCTCGACGCGCCAATTTAGCATCGTCAGAATAAGATGCTTCATTATGTCATTATTATTGTCAACTTACAATTTAAGAATCATTCCGATAGCATTCAGTGTTTTGTTCAAAAATAATTATTTTCTTTGGATCCTTCTTTGTATTTATAATATGGCAACAACGCTCGTCAATCCACCAATACATTATCTCAGCGGGATATACGGGGAGAAGGACTTGATTGTAGCTCCGTGGTGGTAGTTTGTATATCGTATTAGTCATTATTTTATGTTCGGTGTTATCAGACGCAGTTACTCCAAAATGGTTCAGAGGCATCTTGTGGAAGGCTATGAGCAGTTCTGTGAATTTTTCAAAACATTCGACAGTCAGGGTCAATTAGTGCACGTACTATTTTCAAGCAATAGTACGCCTGACGGAGACACTTGGTGTACTTATTGCAAGCAAGGTAAGTTGAAATTGTTTGAGGTTAAGTATTATGAACAATAATCTTTATCTTTCGGACACTGTTGACATAAAATGTAATCGAAAAACATGTTTTTGTCATCTGTGCTTTGACTCAATGCTTCCTAATATGTAATAGGATGCTGAGACATTCTCAACAACTTTTTTATAATAAAATGTTTGTTTTTCAAGAGTATACTCAGTCATTGTTTGATGAAATAGTATCAATTTTTGAATGAAATTTTGAGCACTGTATTTGATTTGTCACATGAGTATTATTCAGTGACATGTGATTAACATTCACTGAAGGTGATCCTAATTACTGAAAACCAGTGTTGCCAATCAGAAATTGGAAAAATAGCTGTTTTCTATAGATATATCTCTTTTTCACACTAGTGTAATTTCACGTATTTTGGTTTAGAAAAACGAGCTGTGTTTGAAAACTAAAAATATGATCGAAAATCTAGATAATTACACGGTCTGATGGTTGTAATATTTTACCTATGAAACAAATATAAACTTACAATGTAAAGATCTTTATAATTCAGAAACCAATTAATTAATCTTAACAATTTTGTGTTCTACAGGAGAAAGAGGATTCACGATTGTGAAATACGTCAGTGAAACGAATTCATAAAAACAGAACATGATTCGTGAACAGTAATTGGTTTAAACTTTATTCTTCGGAATGTGCGAAAACATTGACATGTAATTCAATCCGACATTCAATATGGGTGGATGGCAATTGGCAATGATTTTTAGGAAACAACCTTTGTGAGGCGTCAAGGGGAAGATTCACTATACTAATATGAGTTTTTCTTCATTTTTTATTAATATTTCCATTAAAAACGTAAAAAAACACAAAATAGAAACTCATTCATACAGTTTATTGTTTGATTTTCAGTGTAAAGGGTTTTACAAAAACCGCGACACGTGTTTCGCTATACAAGAACTTTCTCTAGCGTTATTAATAAATTACTTCTGAATTAATTCAGAAGTAACTTTTTAATTTAGAAGTAACTTTTTTTTATTAACGCTTGAGAAAACTATTGTATAGTGAAACACGTGTCGCGGATTTTGTAAAAAATAATATGTTACTTCTAAATCAATTAAAAAGTAACTTATTATTAACGCTTGAGGAAGCTTTTGTATAGCGAAACACGTGTCGCGGTTTTTGTAAAAACCTTTACAGTGAAACCTTTATAGTGAAAATCATACAATAAACTGTATTAATGAGTTTTAATATGGATTTTCATCAAATATCGGCCAGTTCTATTCAATTAGTAAAAAAAAATTTTTTATGTTGCATATGGCAAATAATTTTTCACTACCCTATCTTCCCCCTAACGCAATACCCTAATTTTTCAAAAAAGAAAATTGTATTTCTTCAGACTATCAGGTCAAAATATAATGGATAAATCTCGGAAACGAAATATTTATGATATTTCTTCACTTCATTTCCTGACATTTATGGAAAACAGTCGAAAAAATCCTACACAAGCCTATTTCATTCCTTGATAAAAAACATTAAGTTTTCTGGTAATACGCTTTTATCTCTCGTTCATTGTTGACAATCACTAACTGACAGGACTAGCTAATGGATATTGATATAACACTTGAACAAACAATTCCACATGTTGATATTGTACTCGATTATAATCATTAAATTGACTTACCAAACCATGCCAGTAAGTATCCTTATCAACAGTGAACTTTTTTATCAGTTTATTTAAAACCTAAAACTAATTGTTAATTATTGTTGAATGGTTAAATTGCGATCAAATATCATTTCCATTATTTGAATGCTCAATTCAAAAAATGTCATGTAAGTTTGCTTAAAAAGTCTCAAAACAAACAATTACCACAATGATTTCGACGAAAATTGAATGTATTTGCATTTGAATAACCTGAAGTACTTCGGTACGAGCAAGTTTGAAAAACCGAGTTGTCATCATCGTGAAATTATAAACAATATCACCTCATGATGCCCTTGTCATAAAATAGACTTATGTGTTTAGAAAAAACTAGAATATACTTAGAAAGGGCGATATAACTTAAGATACCGTAAGAAGATTTTTGAACACATCCATTTTTATTTTCTTTAAGAGTATTCAGTCATTAGTTACAGCAGTCATTTCTATAAAATATTTCCCACTTACCGTCCACTGAAGAAAAGTATAGAACAAATTAAATGCATATTTCAACTCTGTGGAGAGCGCGGAGTGTGCTACTCCCCCGACGATAAAGCGTTGACCTTTGCCGACACGATGGAACGTCAGTTTCAACTTAATGTTGACGACGACGACATCGACCGCGATATTCTGTTGGAAGACCGGGGTCACCGTATCCCCAGGGAAGATGACGACGATTACATCCGCCCCGCTTCTGTGGAAGAGCTGAAGGGTTACATTAGGGCCGCAAAGGCCAAGAAAGCTCCGGGGGTCTATTCATAGATGTTATTGAAGAGGCTCCCGGAAAACTGCGGTGAAAGCCTACTACTGATTAGAAACAGTTCGTTGGCCCTCAGAAGTTGAAAGCATGCGATCGTTGTCATGGTATCAAGATAGAACCAGCTGTTCCTACAGAACTATCGCTCGATAAGTCTGCTCTCGTTGGCGGCTAAGCTGGCTGACAAAGAAGTCGGGGACCGAAATGTTCTGTCCGACGAACAGTTCGGCTTCAGGAGACAACACTCCACTGAGTTATAGGCTCAGAGACTGGTCGAAAACACCATCGCGAAACTGAATCAAAACAAAAAAGTCCATGTCGTTTTACTAGACATCTCGTGCGTATTGCTCTGTCTGACAACAGAGACATCTTCGTTTGAGTGCCACACCCACGCTATACTCCCTTTACACCAGCGACCTTTCGAGGTCTGAGCGTGTAAAGATACGACATGGCTCTTCTCTCATCTTCCATGGGTCGGGAGCTCGGCGTCGTCTACATGCAACGTGCATTGGACGACCTCGAGCGCTGAAACCTCGAATGGAAGATCTAAGTGAACCCAGAACTCAGGCAATAACCATGGGAAGAATGATATCTTCTCCGGCCAGAAAAGTGAAGATCTTTGAAAGGGAGATCGACTGGCAAGCGCGGGTAGGGTTCCTCGGTCTTCTAATAGACCGTAGGCTCACCTGGAACCCGCACATCACAACCGTGAAGGCAAAGATCGAGGGTCAAATCAAAAGTCTGTACCTCTGATCAACAGACGTTCCAAATTGAGCCTAAAGAACAAGATTACGATCTATAAAGCGATGTTCAAGCCTGTCATCATGTATGCTTCAGGCGTCTGGGGACAAGCGGCTCCGTCTAATATCTCCATTCTGGAGAGATTGCAAAAAAGTTTAGTTAGGGAAGCTATAGATTATGCTGTAGACGACCCCTCCCGATATAGAAGGCCCAGACACTCTGTCGAATGAGGCCCTCATGTCCTCCGTTAAAAGATGAACAATATCTTCATACAGACACCCCATCCAGGTAGGGGTCTACGTGGAAAGCGGTACTATTGTCTGAGGACATTCATGCAGCCATCCCATGATCAGTCTTGACCCGTTTGTCCTTCTGACGAAGACCAGTCAAAAGGGTGGGAGTCAGGGTCCAACCTGTTCAAACCAAGATGGCTGTCGGTTTCTACACTATGTGGTGTGGTTGTGGAAACTAAGCTATTGAACTGTTTGCCAGGAAGGATATTTTATGCATTTAAAGTTTGCATAATCTTATGAAATATGAAATTTTATGCATCTTTTATAATAATTCCTAGTATGCATGACCAAATCGCAATATTTTCTCTTCCTGATATCAAGTTGTGCCTGAATACGTGATCTGTTAGAAAAATACCATTAATGTTCAAATTTCGCGAGCTACATAGATTCGATTAGCGGTTTTTTATGTTTTCAAGTGGGTATTCCCATCTCGAACATATGTTCACAGCCCCAGCACATCAACCATCGATGAAAATGTTGAGTGAGCGAAGAACATTTTTTTACAGAATCATCGAATCACTATTGATAAAGTGCTGAGGAAATTTTGGGTATGAAGCGTGTGGCAACGATCTTCGTCATTCAACATTTTTGAGCATCACTCAGGAATTGTTGAATGATGTCAACGGCAATCCAGATTTGCCTAAGGGGTCATAACTGGGTATATGATTATGACATCGAAACCAAGGTCCAATCGTCCCAATGGAAGGGCCTAAAAAAGCCAAGACCGAAAATAGCACGCCAAGTTTGATCCAATATCAAGATTCTGCTCACTTTGAATATCATGACGTAATGCACCAGGAGTTTTTGCCACATAGTCGTACGATCAATAAAAAGTATTATCTTGAAATTATGCACCCCTTGCGGGAAGTAATACAAAGAAAACGTCCACTATTGTGGAAAAACAATTCATGGCTTTTGCATCACGATAATATACCTGCTCACTCGTAATTGCTTGTTTGTAATTTTTTGGTCAAAAATAACACCATAATCATGCCGCGGCCATCGTATTTACCAGATTTGCTCTTTTGCGACTTTTTCTCGTTCCCAAGATTGAAGGAATCCAAGAAAGGACGGTGTACCTCAAGTTAAAAAAATGACAATATTAGCTCTTTGAAAATTTGAAAATCTAAAACCATTTTCGATTTTTCGGTCTTTGTTGGCTCAGTAGACCAATCTTAAAACCTAAATAACGTAAATAAATGCCCTATCGATACATCCTAAACACGAATCATGAAATTACTGAATCATTATAATTTTTTTTGCAATCGTCTTCAATATGACGTAATGCCCGTTTGTTTATTATCCGTATTATTCATTACAATTTCAGTGTTCATTCAGTATTTTATTTTTCAGCGTGGCCAGTTATAGAGAAAGAGCTGGAGAAAGCTGATCCAAACTCACATTTTGTGAAAGTAGTTGTAGGTGATCGTCCATAGTAAGTATTTCACTTGATCAAAACTAATGTTGCAGATGTCAAAAGCATCACTTTTTGAAAACATTTTCGAAAAAATAAACCGCATGTTTTTCAAGTAAAATCATTTATTGGTCTTCTGTATCACACTGTTTGAAATCAATTCAGAATGAATACTCATAAATACTGATCATACTTTTTTAGATATCTCGGATACAATATTCTTTTGTCACAAGATGCTGTTATCTTTTCTGTAGGAGATATCAAATAATAGAGTAGTACTATGAACCTACTTGATAATTAGAAAAAATCGTAGAATCGATAAATCATTTGAAAAATTAGAAAAACATTTGTATCACATTGACAATTTTCATTTCATGTAGCTCGGCTACTTTGCGGGATCTCGCTATAATCGTCCTACAGAGCTCGTTATACAAACTGAAAGTTCTCAATACATTACATAAATAGTTATTCATACGGAAAATTTTAATGTTCATCAAAATATCAGTATTTTATTAGGTTTAAAAGCGCGTTTAAAAGCGCATATCCATATGAGTAACTAGTCTTGCTAAGGGATGAACGAACGCTGTCAAGGCTCGTATTTTTTTTAAAGTCCGGTTTTTCAATGGTTTTGCACCTTTGTTATTGATAATATATGAGTTTGAAAAAAATTCAATAGTTTTTAGCCATATATTTGAGTTTTGAATAAAAGTGTTGGTGAAGTTCTTCAAAAACGGCAATAATTTGAAGTGTGAGGTGCTGAATCACTTGCTATAATAATAATAATAATAATACGTATTCATTCAATGATAATGAATAGATATGTACGGTTATGCATGTCAAAGTGCTACAGAGAAAAGTGCCATAGTACTTTGTCTCCATTGGCCGTAACTTAATGTGTTGGCAATTACAATACAGGTCATTTGTTAGAAATTTTTCGTAGCATTTAGTGACTTTCTTGTTTGAAAATTTTTATTTTCAACATTAAACCTTTACAAAGTGAAACTGACGTACATACTTAAATGAAAACTCAATTCTAAAATATGAACCTAGTAGTATATCAGATTATCGTTTTAAAAATCACGAACTTTTTTTTCCAATTTCAGCCATTTCAGTTAACTATAATATTACAAAAGTCTTGCATTTGATGTACCAAATGAACGTTGGTAATAGCTGAATTTCATGTTGTTTCCTGATATTGATATAATTCAAATGATATTCATTTTCAAAGGAAACTGATGATAAGCGATCTACCACTTAAAAATGATGATTAAGTTTTATAACTGAAAATATCCATATATGTATTTCTACGGAATTCGGAAATGAGGTCATGTCAGTTTTTCAATTTTCTATTTTCGAATTAAAATAATACTATCTTTGAGAAGTTTCTGTCAGCCCCAATTGTAATATATCAAGTACCTTTCAGTTCGTGTTGAGTGTTTATGTATGAAAAAGAATCATGAACAGCAGACATTATTCTTATCTCAAATCTATTAATGTATCCCTATCGATTTGTTGTTAGGTAAACAGGCGAAACGATAAGTATAATGGAATGAGTATAAAGAAATCTGTATATTTCACAAACAATATTTGATCATACATTCAATTAATTATCTATCAGAAGGCATAATTTTTTGCACGCTTTCAATGAATCAACCACTTTTCTTAAATTCAAATTCTATACAGTTTTCTCGAAGATTATTTTAAACTCCAAACTGAAAATATTGGATTTCCAAGTTTTTTAATTTATCGGATTTTGGTTAATGTTTCAACATTATTTTCGGAGAAATGATATTAATCAATATTAATGTTTCAGTTGGAAAGACCCTGAATGTCCATTTAGAAAAGATCCAAAAACAAAGTTGAGAGTTCTACCAACAATGGTTAGATGGGGAAGTCCACAACGTTTGGAAGGCGAGCAGTGTGATAAAGCTGATTTGGTAAATATGCTTCTGAACGACGAAGAGGACTAAATTGTTATGTACTTATCAGCCATATGGATATAAATAAAACATTTTCGTATTGAAGCTGTGAATTAATTTCTAGAAGCTCTTTCCAGCTAAGTTACCTGATCATCAGAATACTTCACCTTTTCAATTTCACCACTATATATATGACAAAAAAATTCTAAACATGTTCTATTCGTCTTTAAGATCATGGCAGATTATGGATTAAAAAAAGCCAGTTCTTCATATGTAAAAAAGTTATAGACCAGACAGAAGTTTCAAAATTACGTTGTGAAAGTCGGATTATTCCATTTTATTCAAATAAAAATTTCCATATCGAAAATATTTCACCACATGTTTTCAGAGGTTTATACACACTTTAACAATATCAGACAGGACACATGATTATCCTTATCTCGACTGATATCACCTTTGACATAAGAAACAAAGACAAACTCCACCTGATATACGAAAATATTCTCCCAATATTGATCAACAATGAAGTATTTTGATTGATTGAAAAATATCGGTTATATTTCGAAAAAGCTCACAATGGTGATAGATCGTATTCTTTTATTGAGCAAAAATAAAATCTGAAAATGATTAGCCACTTCAATAGGGAAAAACGAGATAAAGAAAATCCATTTCTTATTCACGAGGAATTGATGTTTCTGAAGCCTCTGGTACTTCATTATTAGGAGTGGTTGAGGAGGTCGCCGCTAGATCTCTATTCGAATTCAGATCTTTTAATTCTTCATCCGTAGGTATAATATTCATTTTATCCAACGGCTGCGTGACGAAAATGCAATACTGCAGCTTTTTACTTCTGAGTAAACTGTAAGTGTTGTCAAAAGTGACGGTATCTGAAAAAAAAAAATTGAAACGATTATAAGAAATCAATAATAGCTGGAACAGATTAGAGTAGGTTTGATCTATTTCAATGAGGCAGTACTTTCTGTGAAATATTCTTGCAAGTTGATAAGTGAGAGTCAAACCTTCCCTTACATTTCAATTTACAAATTTCAGGGCCATATACAGATAAACGGTACTATTAAAAACAATATTTCCGAACCTGAACAGCAATACTGTCCATGCACATCTAAACGAACCTTTCCGTACTTAATGAGGATTAATTGTATAACTTATTTTAATTGTAATTGTAGCTAATGTTAATTACTACTTGGAATAATACTTTATTTTCTACCTGGAATTATTAGGTAAGAGAGTAAACAACGCATTTTTCAATTTTTAAACTTACGAAAGCATCTAAAAACTGGTTGTCATGTATCGGTCTTGAAAGTTTTATATATTCCTCACTCATTTGCGATACAAAAGACTTCTCTGGTCTATCATAACAAGGGCTATGAAAAATCCCGGGTCTAAGAAAGAAAACGCGTTTGTTTTTGTTCAAAATTGGCTTCATCCATCAATATAATCTACATTAAGAGACACACAATCATTCCAGCGACGCTCCAACATTTCAGTACCATTTTTGTAGAATGATTTACCTTTTGCCTCGAAATAAGCCTCAGTTTCAGTGATAACCTCTTCATATGAACAAAATTTGTCACCGGTGAGAAATAATTGAGGTTTGCGAACAGCCAGTAGTCGTTGGGAGCCAAATCTGGCGTATACGGTGGATGTGGGAGCAATTCGAAGTTCAGTTCATATAGTTTTGCCATTGTTTTGATCGAATTGTGACACTGCGTTGTTTTGAAACAAAATGTTTTTCTTTGCCATATGCGGCCGTTTCTTTGCAATTTCAGCCTTCAAACTCTCCAATAACGCTATATAATATTCACTGTTGATGGTATTTCCTTTGTCAAGATAATCGATGAATACACCACGCAAATCCAAAAATAGAGAGGCCATAACCTTTTCAGTCGATTGTTATGCTTTCGGGCGCTTTGGACGAGGTTCACCAATTGCTCTCCAGTGAGATGGTGATCGTTTTGATTACGGACTGAAGTGATGGATCCATGCTTCATCCATTGTCACATATTGTTTTTGGTCAACAGTGAGCTCGTGTGGCACCCACTTTGAACAGAGTCAAATGTTCATGCAATATAAAAAATGAAATCTTGAGTCTTCGTCTTTTCCAAATAGTCGAAGACACACTCTGGTAATTTTCGTTTCTGTTGAAAGTTTTTCAAATGTAATCAATATCAAGAGTGACAATATTTCACCAACAATTTCGTGCAGTTCTCTGGATATGAATACAACATTTTTTTTTCGAAGTAACTATGTCGAGAAGGCATATATTCCGTCACGATAATATACGAGAAGTTCGAAATCATAGGTTAGGAATTGCATTTTGTACGGGTTGGTATTTAGAAGTTTTTAAAACACTAGAAGTTATAATTTGTCTGGTAAATTCGTGGACACCCGGTATCAGGAAAAATACGAATATTTCGAAATTATATTTTTGTCTTTTTTCCGCGGGAACTCATAGCCACCCTCAATTCACACAATATGTGAAAATTGATAATTTGTTGAGCATGCAAGAAAAATGTGGAAAAAAGTGACTGTGTTTTTTTGATTATGCTATATCAAAGAAACCAGTGAATGAATAGACCGGGTCTGAAGATGCGTCAAACACAGTACGCACAAATGTGCATACAACCCATTTTCGTTTCCACGTCAGTTACTGTATTTTAGCATGAATCAGTCCAACTGTACTACTACAATTTTAATAGAAAAATTTGGTTCTCTTCAATATTTCTTCGAGTTTCGGTAAATTTGGTAATATAATAACTATCAGATAAATTACTGTTTTTTTAATATAAACCTTTACGTATTCTATCTAATTCTTTGCTTTTGCACAACCAAAACGATCCTTTTTTGGATGTGATGAAAACTATGTACACGAGACGCACTTCCCTAAGGTGGTGGTCAGCGGCTGGTGTGATTCATTATAACTTTCTGTAACCGGGCCTAATCATCACAGCAGATGCCTATTGTGATGAAATTGATCAAATTAATTTTCCGATAATTGCGTCAGCAGTAGTCGGCACTGGTCAACAGAAGAGGTCCAATTCAGCTCCGCGATAACGCCCGTCCAAAAATCACCATCCGAATATTAAACGAATTGAGCATCGGAATTTTGCCCCACCCACCATACTCTCCAGATCTCTCGCCAGTTGGCTACTATCTCTCACCGGTAGAACCTTCGCCAATCAGGACTAGCCAAAAACGGCCTTCGTCGACTTCACCGAATTGTGAGCACACAATTTTCATGCTGACGAAATTATTCGATTTGTGTTACGTTGGCAGAAGTGCACTGATTCAAATGGCGCTTATTTTGATTGAATTGAATAAGTATTCACTTAGATATTACAGTTACATAATAAAGGATTAAACGTTTGAAACAACATAATACATATATATCTATGAAATCATCAAATTTGAATAGCAATGGGAAACTTTCAAATGAAGAAAAGTCGACGAATACCAAAGGAAACTCTCAAAGGAAAATTAAAGATTATTTTTTAGTCCATTTCTGAAATAAATATTACTAAAACATAGTAAATTAAAAGAGTATCAATATAAAACTCGATTCACAATAATTTCTTCTAATCCTAAACTGAACCAAGGGTTTTGGATCACTCTTCAACTTTTTGGATAATTCTAATGATGATTTACTCAAGTGTTTCAACAATTCATTCATGTTATTTTAACAAATCCCGAAAAAGAGAGTTATCATTCAAAACCCTCCTCGGGCCAGTTACAGATTAGAAGCTGCATATATATAATAAAAAGAAGAAGATTATTCAGTTGCTTTAAACAACGAATACTTTTGTTAATTCCTTATGTACGTGTACGTGTATGTTCAATAGTTTTTCAGGAAATGAAAAATTTTCATCCGTGTTCCCTCAATGTTTCTTCTTTTAAAGCCGAAGCAGGTATATTCGATTTCTAGCAGAAAACTCACATGTTGCTGGTGCCTGACACGCTATTGCACCACTTTCATCCATTTGATGTGATGCTACCCGCCTGTGTCGCACAACAGGGCTCTCCACTCCATGCTCATCCTTCAAAGTTACACCAAACTTTATGTCGTGTCCATCTGTTTTGAACTCCCACCTAAAAAAATTACTGTTGTTCTCCAGATAATAGATAATTCGCGATGAAAGTGTCAAAAAAGTGACTTGGTCTACAGATAGTGAAGGTGAATTTAGTGATAATCGATATTAATATGATGTGGTGAACAAAAAGTGAGTTTCCTTCGAACAGTAGGCAAGTATGAAAATTTGATAATATTGAGACTCTTCAAAACTGAGTAAAAAAACGATGATGTATCGCATTGTATTGTATCATTTTTCTTGTCCCAAGAAACATTGAATGTTCATGAAATTGAGATTAAAAGCTGATTTAAAAGCAGAAGGAAAGAATTCAATTCTATTTGGAAATTCAGTAAATTTTCCAAACTGTTGATTCTATCAATTTTCAAGCATTCAAAAAGATTGAGTTTCAAATCTTCCTCTGTCATATTCGTGGTTTTCACATTCAAGAACCTACGCCTATGTTATTTTATTCTTTGGGACAAGTTTCTCCCCGTTTGCCCAATATAAAATTTTGGCAAGAACCACAAGCCAACTTATATAAGTCCTGATCTATTCGACACTGAAGTTTTGTCTTAATTGTTTTTAATAAATTTCTTTGAATTATCATCTGCTCTGTTAACCCCTCCGAAATCTGTCATTTTCAAAAAAAGAGCGATGTTATTGTCCGAAGTATATTGATGTCCTATGACGTCCTATGACGTTTCTTGAACTGGTATAGACTTGGTAAATGGCTTGTTTTCGTAGTTTTTTGGAAAGAATGGAGCCAGTAATATCTACCTTCTAAAGGTTATTGACAGCAATTTGTTTGATGAAACCCAGTATCTACTCTCTGAAAATGACTTTCTGATAGTGGAACAGCCAATGCGAAGCATACTATTAAGTGCTCCTACTTTATGCTGATAGGGATGTGTTAAGGAATTGCATATGAGAATGTCCGTATGAGATGGTTTGCGAAAAATGTCAAAATCATGTTTTTTATTAATTTCAGTAATAGTTTAGTCTAGAAAATTCATTAAATTGTTTACCTCCATTTCAGTGGTGAATTTAATTGATGGATCAATGCCTACCTGTGGCAGTGAAATATACTAAGATATCATTTACTCATCTGTACCTGTATGAGAAACTATTAATCAACTGATTATTATGAATTTCATTTACAGGGTCATCCATTCAGCCCTTCGGTGCATGAATGAAACTTTTCAATGAATTGAAAATAATTTTGAGATATAACAGTAGATCTAGAATCCATAAATTAGTTGAAGTTTTCGTGACCGAGAGTTTCATTCGGGTTTGAAGGCCTTCGTAGTTCGGAACTGCATACTAACGTTTCGTCAGCACGAGTGGCTGGCTTCTTCAGAGGCTTACTCATCTTGATGATTTACCGATGACTAATGATTTCTATAAATTTGTATAAAGGCAACCTACGAACTGCATCCTAACGTTTCGTCAGCACGAGTGTCTGGCTTCTTCAGAGGTTTATTCATTTTGATGATTCACCGATAACTGGTGATATACAAATACAACCTACGAACTAGAAATCATCAGTCATCGGTGAATCATCAAGATAAATAAACCTCTGAAGAAGCCAGCCACTTGTGCTGACGAAACGTTAAGATGCAGTTCGTAGGTTGTATTTGTATAAATAGAAATCATCAGTCATCGGTGAAACATCAAGATGTATAAACCTCTGAAGAAGCCAGCCACTCGTGCTGGCGAAACGTTAGAATGCCACTCGTGCTGGCGAAACGTTAGGATGCCATTCGACGGTCTTCAAACCCGAATGAAGATAGTAACACTGGAGATCTAGAATTTTCTGTTTTACTACAAGATCAACATGGTTTTTTTCTAAGAGACGCTCAACAAGCTCAATTGTTTCAATCGGCGAAATACTGGGAAATTAAATCTAACGATATTAATTTAACTTTAATGAAGAGTTATCCACTAATTGATATGTATTATTCATAGTGAATCGCGGTTTGAATTCAGTGTGAGTTTTAATTGTTTGCATAGGCATTTCTGAGATTTTTACAGATGGAGCCGTTGTAAATGACACCACAAGTCAAATTCGAACATTGGTTTCATGCAATTCATTAAGCCGTGGGTTCATAATCACCGCCTTTCGTTCATCAATTCCATTCATTACCAGCTTTATTGTCTTAAGAGTTTCCTTCACCTCTTTCTCTATTCCTATAGAGTTGTAGGATAATACCTCGGAATAGTGTAGGTTTCTGAAATAATAAAATCTAGAGTTTTACTAACGTATTTTTTGTTTTTCGCAGTAAAAGATGTTCATCAAGGATCAGCTAATTCCATCAAATGAATAAAACTCATATATTGCACTAGAATTATAAAATCAACATTTATGTCGTTTCGTTTCCAGAAAACTCAATTGCATTATAATACCTGTATCAGGCAGCTACAAGACAAACATGACATTGGATCTTCTATTTTGTCTTTAGATGATTCGCTGACTCGGATAGATTGGTTTATCAAACATGAACTTTTGTCGCAATGAATGGTTGTAGTTTTTTCGTAGAAAAAGTAACAAAACATTTAAACTCGTTAACTTGACGATGGTAATGAATTATTAAAGATTACCGTTCAAAATAGCTGATAGATATAGCATGTATATCCTCAAAAGGCCCGATCAAATTGATAACCTTTCCTCCTGCGAATATATTCTTGAATATATACATATTATGCAGTTCATTCAAAATGATTTGATTTTATAATTACCTGAGGAAACATCCTTCTTCGGCCACAATGAAATGTAAACATAATTTTTCACCTTTCTTTATCACAGCACTTTTGAATTCTCTATTTTGTTCCTTTTCAGGTGCCTCCAAGTTTCTCAAATAACATGATGTAGGAACTTTACCACCTTGTTTGACCTTAAAAATGACGCATATTTTCATTTCTACCATTTATGGAATTCAACAGACTGACATAAAAAAAATTGAGATTTCACAAAAAAAGGGGCTATTGATACTAAAACTATAAAGAGAAATAAAAAAAATATTGTTGAAGAAATGGAAATTTTCAACGGTAAATCTTCATTCATTACACTCTATTGGCAAATGAAAATTTGCTTTTTCAATAGTGAATATTTCAAAATCAAATAAGGTAGGTGCTACCTACCGAACCACTTTAACAAAAATAATACATGTATTAATAACTCAGAAAATTAGTTATTTTCGTGGTAGATATTTTGATAACTTGTGATTGCCATCTTGAGAAATTTTTCATTATTATGAACTATCAAATATTGAAATGATGAGAAATTGAATATATTAAATTTTTGTGCCGCTATTCATGATGGATATCAAAAAGCTTTAAGGCACAGCATTCATCGCGCGGGACCCTTTTGAACGAAAAACAAAAGAACTAGAGATACTCGTAGTTGCAGTAGTCGATATTATTGATTCAAATTCGTTTCTCTTTTATAAACATTTTTTTTTACTTTCTGATCAAATCAAAAGTCGGAAAAACGTATTATCAACTTTTCGTAATGTTAAACAGCACGAGAAATTTTCCATAATTTGTACTTTATACTACTGTACTTGTTATAGCAAAGTCTAAACCAGTAGACCACAGTTATAAAAAGTTCTATAGGTGTTCAAATCTCATCTGAAATCGACCGTAAAAAGCCACATTCAAGAAAGCATAAAAAGTGATTACCGAATTCAGTATTCAACTTCAATACATGCATTGAAATAAACGGATACCATTTTGGGCCCTGTCAAAAATTAGTTTCAGTATTTCCTTTCCTTTTTCCAATCCATAAACTGGGATCTATTAAAATGCGACACTAAAGTGTGATTATAACTTAGTTTGGTTAAACCATTTAGAAATTTTGAAGTAAAAATAATTATGGTACCATCATTGATAATGGTTTTGATGGTAAAGAAATTTAGCAGCGACAGAAAATGTAGGTCATATTCAGCAGTTTGTACCTAATCATACCCCTGATGATTTTTGGTAAGGTCAAAATTTAAATTCAATATCTACTTAAATGTAACCTTGACTTCATTCACAGTTATGAAATATTTATACGAAAAATATTGAGAAACCATAAGAAATATTACTATTGTCGTGTATCGTGGATTTCCATCGGGGTCACATAAACTTCCTCCAAAAATCAAGAAGTGATGGAATGAATGTTACCATGGCAACCCAGTCAATTTTTCCATATTTGCTGTCATTTTTTGTGATCACAGATTAGTGATTTTGAAGTGGATTCAAGCGACGAAGAAAGTGTAAATTTGTCTTTTACTACTTGTGGTGAAGTTGAAGTATCAAAGTTTATAACGTTCTTGAATGAACATGCAAAAACTTAAATAATTTTCTAAATTTGACGAATAAGTTAGTTTTAATAATATTGCAAATCTGGAACAACTTTCAATCCATTTAATGTTTTCTTCACTATAAATTACAATTTTTTAATGTCACGGAATAAACTTATGTCATCGATGACATCGTAATGACATTCATTCACCTATTTGATTTAATCCCAGCCAAGAGGAATCTTATTTGAATTGAAGGGGTTATATTTTTTAGGGCAAGTGTCTTAAGGCGAAACATCGGTGTATACAAGTGAGGATGGCAGTGTTCTATGTAAGTGCAATTTGTTACCATTCATTTTCAGAACTCATGTGGATGATATCTGATTTTTATTCCACAACGAATGTTTGAAATACAAACTGAGTAGAGAGAAGTATCTACTGTATAATTCAGTGTTCATATAGAAGTATTTGTTTCGAAAGGATTTTTTCTTTCGTATAATTCAATGTTTATATGAAAGTAGCTGTTTCAGGAGGACTTTCTTTCAGTTTGTGTCTGAAAGTTACTTCTTTGCATGATCTACACATCCATGTATAGAGTTACTTCCTTCCTTTCTTTGGAAGACTCCCTCATCCTTCTTTTTTTTTGTATCAAGATGGAGTAGTAGAAAGCCAAAAACTTTCTTTCCCAAATAAATTATACCTGGTCTCCAAGCATATTGGCGCAAATTAAAGCCCTCCATATCGAAAATGACCACTACTTGATTTTCACCGGTTTTCGCAGCCATATCTAAGTTCTTTTCCAGTATACTAATGGTCATTTTGATCAAATCTTGCCTTGTAGCCGAGTGTAAAAGTCCAACAACGTCGAAACCCACGAAAGGAACACAAATAACTGCAAAAAATAACAGGTAAGTGGATTCATTGGAACAAACTACACATCTGGTATTCTGATATTTCTCTATTAGTAACGAATTCAGCAAGATGCCCAAATTTTTCATATACTGACCTGGAGCACCATCCTTATCAAATCCAGTGGTGCCACTCGGGTGATAAAGGGTGATGACATCTGGAGGTTTCCATTCTTTCAATGCTCCATCAACTTCCCACTGTTGCCTCCATTTCATGGACTGAAAAATTAAATAATTTATATTTATTCGATATTACCGTTACAAAGGAAAACCTTCGTAACTTTCAGTATGTTTGAAAATTCTCTGAAGACTAGTAATTCATTAGACAATACATGTTATTATAACTCTCAAGTTGGGAAACCTTTATTAAATTAGTGTAGATTTCTCCTCCCCCAGAAAAGACACAATTTTAAATTGCGCGGATGACATGTAAAATGAAAATTGGTTGCAAACATGTGGAATAAATATTCTCAATTTACACAATCTGAAAAAAAAAGAAAATTGTAAGGGAGAACTTTACAGACGTGTAGAGATTTTAGTTCACATCGATAAATTACTACGTAAATTCAAAGTATTTTTCACGAAAACAAATTTCCTATTTATCATATTATTTGTCGTATTTGAAGTATATTAGCAGTCTTTTCTTCGCTGATTCTCTTCATTTTTGTACTTCCTCGACAGATATCAGAGAAGTTTTGGAATGTGAAATATGTCGATGTTGTTGATTAACTTCTGAAACATTCGATATAGAACAGGTGTTCTCTTATATTAGTCTCTTGCTAGACAGTCGATAAAAACTTTGATTTTCTCTATAAAAATGACTTTCGTTAAATATGTGTGGAACAAGTTCCAACAAGAACTCCATCAATAGTTAGTGAAATCAACCAAAAATTCAATTACTGTGGAAGCATGACATTGTATTGAATTCAAATAATAATTGTATCATTTGGTATCAGCTATTCGAAAAACAAAAAAGTACGGAGTACAGCTACCTCAAGAACTCAAAAAATATGATGAGGTTCTTTGTATTGAATTGTATAGGATCTGCATTATAAATCATGTTCCGTTAAACAAATTGTTTCCTCGAATAATCTTAAGGAACATTTCATTCAGGTCAGTCTCAACTCCTACACTGTAGGTTAATGTTGTAAGATTGTTTGTCGTCCGTTTCAGCCTAGTTCGAGGAATGATACTCTGAAGGAATTCGATTTTCAATTATCGGAAATCATCTACTTTTATGTTGATGAAATACACTACTTTGCACTGACGAGTGGCCAAACAGCCCGAAACCGGTCTGCAAGTGTGTTCCAATAAATGAAAATGTATTGCGACAGTTCGCATATGCAGGAATAACTTCAGTAAAAAATCCTGCACTGAAACCTGTCGGATATCAACACCCTTCGTGGTATTAGCTAGGGGAGTAGTTTTTTCTGACAGGTATCAGTCTATTAACGTACAGTATAGCGAGTTGAGACTGGCTGAAACTGTTTCAGTTGATACGTTTCAGAAATTGATATTGACAATTTTGCCAAATTGAGCATTGAAAAGAAAAAGCGAAAGTATCGAACATTTTGTATCAATCGACGAGAAGATCGACTTTTGAAGCATCTTCTTGCTTTTAACATACATTTTTATTTGAGAACGGCGACTTTTTGAAAATGCTGGGTCCTGGCAAAAATTTGATAATTTCGAACACACTTGTGGGTAACTTGACGAATCATCAATAACAGCACTGCTTACGAAATTCATAGGGTCCCGAACTGTTTGAGGATCTTATACGTAGGTGAATGTATAAGGTCGTAGTGATTTCTCTGGATTGTGAAGTTTTGACAGACCATATTTAGGTACTGTCGGATAAAATACTTGCAAACTTCTGTCCAAAGTCGGGATTATCAAGTTGTTATACTTCTTGATTGTAATTTTCACTTCTGAAACCATCTTAGGCAGTGGGTCCTTCGGAATCTTAATAAAATTATCCATTCTATCGTAATAATAATATTTGTCCAGGAATACAATCTTATTGCCTTTGTTTACTCCCAAATAGAAAACCTCTTCTTTTTCAATATCTTGATAACGTTTCATCCATTATTTGGAAATTGTCAATAATTTGTTTCTTAACTTTACCAGCAACCTGTTTTTGGAAAGCACTATCAACACATGCTAAAACATCTTCCAAGATTATTTTCAGAAGGCCAGATCTCAAACTTTTGTTCAGAAGATTGAATTTTTTTCTATCGAAGGATTATTCGAGAGATTTTCTAAAATGTTGTTTTTTCAGTTTTTTATAAAATGACAATGTCTCAATGCACCTTGATAATAAATATTCATGTCTGCAAATTATCTCATTGTTCCATCTCTTCTAACTGAGAGTTGGAATAATGACAGCTGATATGAGAGAAGTGTTAAAAAAAATTGATTATGATCAATCAATAATCAATATATTTATTATGAATAACAGGATGATATCAATGATTTAAAACGATGTCATATTCATCACTCTGAGATCATGAAACATTCAATATATCTTCCAAATGAACCTTAAAAACCCTTACCTGTCTCAACATTTTCTCCGCAGCTTCTAGGTTCCAATTTCTGGCTGGAATAATAGGAAACTTGTTATTTTTCAATAAAATAAATCGCGAGATTGATTTTATAATTAAGATCATGTTATGACTACATGAATAAGTGAAATGCTTACAGACCAAATACCTAATCAAAATGCAATAATAATACTTGATGCAAGAGCAATAACGTGCTTTCTAATATTGCAAATTATACCATACATTCCGTTTATGGTACAATTAAGGAATCGAATCATAATAATCGTCAACGGAGTGTTAACCAATTCAATTAATAGTAATTACACAAGAAGTAAACCAACGACATATTTTGGTTGCCGGTCCAGTCAAACATTGGGTATGTTATTTTATCAGGCAGAAAATACGTGATATCAAAGGCAATTAACTCTTAAGAAAGAATCATAAAAGCTTAGTACCATAAAATACTTGAAATTGAAAGTATAAAAATTACAATAAAATCACGATTGGCAGATATTATTACCTTTTTGACATAAATATTCAGATTGGTATCATTTCTTTCAATGCTGAATCCGCTATCGCAATGATTTAATTAGTTATTGACTCATCTTATCATTCATTAAAGCAGCCAGTTATAATGTATTAGCAAATACTGATGAACGAGCAATTTTGAGGAAGGTTCGAAATCGTTTGTCTCTTGATCAATTTCAAATTCAAATATTGAGAAATTATTGAACAATAATGGGAGATTAAAGATCACAACCCAAATCATCACGATAAAGTTCTGATTAAGGACGCAGAAGTGAAGAAATTGTCAGTTTCGTTTGTTGTACTATCCAGCATGGTAAAGATCACAGTGATCCGAGGCCATGCTAGGTACAGGACCTATTGGTGGGCTGGCAAAGACTAGTATAAAGACTTCTATCAATTCCTGGATGTAAGCCAATTCGCTTAATCTGTAGAACAAGATTCCAGGAATAAAGCAGGCAAAGAAGTTCTGAAAGAAACCCCCGTCCAGATTCACGGAAGATCAGCTGAACCACAACTGCAAGGTTGTAAGGGTAGTGGAAGGTCTCCTAACTAGGGGTTGTCGACTTATAAAACATAAGAGCATTATGGGCCAATTCGCTTAATCTGTAGAACAAGCTTTCAGGAATAAAGCAGGCAAAGAAGTTCACAAAGAAACCCCCGTCCAGATTCACGGAAGATCAGCTAAACCACAACTGCAAGGTTGTAAGGGTAGTGGAAGGTCTCCTAACTGGGGGTTGTCGACTTATAAAACATAAGAGCATTATGGGCCTGGCGGAAGAAACTCTATACAGGTTCTATATGGGAGATGTGGGAATAAGGAACACACTTGTAGACCGGTTTTGGGCTGTTTGGCCACTCGTCATGGCAAAGTAGTGTATATCACCAACATAAAATGGGTGTTTGAAGGTGGTTGACAATGTTTCGTGGTGTAATTCATCAATTCGGACTTCCATTGTCTAATATAATATAAATTGATTTGAAATCCCTGAAACAAATTAAAAACATTCACCGAAAAATAATAATTTCATTAAACGAAAAACTGAAATTTCAAAGAAATAACATATAAGCAACAACAAAAAAAAATAAAAAACTCAAAAAAATTTGAAAAGTTAATACAATCTAATATTCATTACTACACCAAAGGTTCCAAACAGTGCATCATAAGTACAAGCTGAAAATTAAAAAATCAAAAAATATTATTAACAAGAAATCAAACTAGATAATAAAAGATTCCAAACCAAGTTACGTCACGACGTTTCGATTGTTAGTATCTACAATCGTCTTCGGTGTATTAACTTTTCGATTTTTTTTTATTATTTTTTTGATTGCTGCTTGCATGTTATTTCTTTGTAATTTCAGTTTTTTGTTTAATAAAATTGTTATTTTTTGGTTAATCTTTTTAATTTCTTCAGGGATTTCAAATCAATTTATATCATATTAGGCAATAAAAGTCCGAACTGATGAAATACATACAGTCGGTGCTTTCCGATAACTGAAAATCGAATTCCTTCAGAGTAGCATTCCTGGAACTAGGCTGAAGCGGCATATCCGAAATTTTCCCAATTTCTCGTATAAGAGAAAAAACTTCTCACATATAGTCAGTGGGCATACTCCCTACTGTCCCTACAGTCCCCACAGTCTTCAAATATGCTCCGTTAACTATATGTATAAAGTAAATTTATTTAAAACACTTTCCCCACACCAGAACAGAAATGCAGTTTCTTGACACGCTACTTTTTTTACGCAACTCATCAATACTTCACCCTAATAGAGAGCTTATATGAACTGCATTCAATTTTTTTCTTCATAAGACCTGTTAAAGATATAACATGAGAGGAGGGGACTAACTTAAAACTTTCAAGTTTATCCCGACCTAGTAGAACTTGGTCTCTAAATCGTTAAGTATTCATTATAGGGACTATTCAAAACATTTTTCATTTTAGGATTTATTCTAACGTAATGCTGTGATGATACTAAAGATCGCGATATATCCTACGGACCTCTACCCAATATCATTTTTTCCTACTAGAGATAATGGAGACATTGTAAAACAATTCCTTTGGGGGTGTTTTGCTTTTGTAAACCCACGAGTTGACAAATTATCGTTATTCGTGAAAAAATTGAACGTACTCGTATTTCATAATTTCATAAGAAAATCACTTTGTCAATGGAGTCTTTGATGTAATTATACTTCGTCCATGGTTCCAAAATCTCTCAGTTCATCGAAGAGAAAATATTATTGGAAAACGTAGAATATCTATCATCAGAAAAATATGTTCGGTGATGATAATGTAACCATATGTACATTGTCATGAAAAAATAATCATTTCTTCAAAATTTGATCGTTTCGGCATTCTGACCTGGAATTGTATAATACAATATAGCAGATGTTCCGTCTCACATGCAATTATTGAAGTATGTTGAAAATTTCAACCGGAGTTCCTGAATAATCGATTATAGGTTTGTTCTGATTCTGAAATGTTCGGTCTCGGTGAGTCAGGCGCAACTGCTATTGTTCAGAACTATTCTTGTTTTTTTAATCAGTAAGGTATTTGTCCTCAACGTTAAGCAAAAAATGTGGAAACTCTCAAAGAAAGGAAGGAAAAAATAACTACAATAAAAACTTCTTATAAAAATATGTAGCGCATACATAGAAGTTTCTTTTAGACATAAACTGGAAGACAAAACGCTTGAAAAAGCTATTGTATAGCGAAATACGTGTCGCGGTTTTTGTAAAATACTTCATAGTGAAAATTATACCATAAACTGTATTAATGAGCTTTTTGACGAGAAAGTTGAATTGCACGAATGTGCAAAAGCCTTACAACTACAATTACACAAATTACTAGAAATATTCGTGATGAAATTGAAACAGATATCATTCAATGTCACTTACATAGAACACTATCATCATCATCAATGGTGTACTTAGAATTTTCGAAACACAAAACTTGTTTTATCACCTTTCGCAAATTAGATAAGATTCAGTTCTTATGGTAATTCAACTATGAAGTCAAGAAAGTTTCTCATCATGACGTATAATATTGCATACCTTCATTATTCATTCGTTTTTTATAAAACATATGTTTAGGGCTAGACTTTCCTTGAATTGAAATGAAAGGAGTGATATTTAGAAATTTTTCGCATATCGTATATTGAGCGGTTGGTGTTCCTCCTTATCCATTTACGTCTCATCAAGGAAAACGTAAACATTTGAAATCTTGATATGTGTGTGGGAAAATTTTTGTTTGAGTATTGGAAAATGAGCCAATCATAAAATTCAACTAAAAGTCTAGGAGTCTAGGTAACGCTGTAATTCGGGTATTACTACCCCTAACAGGATCTTCTGTAACGAAAATTGGTTATTTAGAAAGGTATTCAAACTCCTTTCTGAAATATTTTGAAACAATGCGAAAAGAAAAAAACCTCCACAGATTTCGAATTACCACATATGTTGGAAAAATTTTACACTCTATTAAATATACAATTTCATTAATATTTGAATGCAAATGCCAAATGCGGCTATGAGAATCATAAAGTCGACAAAATTTCAAGCGCATAAAAAGTGGGTGGAAAAATAAATAGTTGAAATCTAGTGACTTTACTTGATTTGGTCTATTTCTTCTTTTGTTCTGCTCAAATTTGTTCTGCGGGTGGTGAAATCACAGTTTAGTTCAACAAATAATTTCGCACTGTCCTGAACTATCAGGTATTAGTCTATCACGTATCCTGTTGTACGCAGTTCAAAAACATTCTTGGGTGCAGGAACCAGAACAATCCTTATGTGTATAAAAATTGAAAATTTCACTCACCTCTCAACCATCGCAGAAGGAAATGATCATCATGGTGTGCTTGAAGTACATCTGCTACTGTCCTACGAAACTGAAAACAAAAAGCATACCTGTTATTTATAAGAAATTCTGAAAAAAAATTGATCAACACGGCTGTTGAGTTGAAATTGTGAGTATAAATGATTTTTGCGACAAATCAAGCAATCAATCAATCTACTTCATTGATTCAAAAATGAAAAACTAGCTAACAAGACAATTGCAATGAATGTTTGGAGAAAAAACATAAACATACTTGAAATTAGAAACTTCATATGGGTGAAATGGGTTGATGAATCAACTAGTTTGACAAACAAGTAAATTTTTTTTATACTTACTATCTCAAGATTTTACAAAAATGTAATGTCTTGTTACATCAGCATGTCAAATGTTGATGAAAAGATACTACTACAAATAAAATCAAATATTTGTGTATAACACAATGAAACAATGATGTTTAGCAAATGGTTTATTGAATAAATTCAACTGTATACACTTTGAGTAAGTTTAGTCATAAATGTGTCGTTATAGTTGGTAACTAACGAAATGATTCTTGGAATTAGCATAAAAATATTCATTTGTCAAGGAAGATTTCTGAATTCAAAAAAATCACCTCATGATGGATTCTATTTTTCCCATAAGATCGAATTAAGATCTATCTCAGTAGTTACGATTGAAATTATTCAGTAAACTTTTTTCAAAATATGTACTTTTCGCCTAAGTGAGCCCAATGATATTTAATAACATAACATATTAATTCAACTCGTAAGCCTAGTTTTCATCAATTCAATCAGTTCCACAATCGATTATCACAATTATTGGTGCACTTTTTTATGTAAATTCCTTGATTATTTCCTCCTTTTGGAATTGAATAATCATGTTATGCAATTTAAACTTTTTTGTAGCGCAGTGAAAGTGGTCCATAATTCAAACGTGGCGCATCCATTTACATTCACATTTATCTCTGTAGGATTGCAAACGGTACCTGTTATATGAGAAAAAAAGCAGGATAACCACCGAATGCATAACGCAAAGTGAACTTTCACTGAACATTCATAAGCATAATAATAATTGTTCATTTTCTCTGTTAGAAAGTTAACATGTAAGGTAGATTCTATCATCTCAGTTTTCAGTCATCTCTAAATGGTATAATTCTGAAATTCTCCCAGAATCAAAGCTGTTTCACATTCGTTTATGATGGGTAGAATTAAGGAGAACCGTCTCATATGGCAGGAAGCTTGAAAGTGTCCAACTTTCAGCAGTAAATAACAGTTCAAAAATCCTCCAGAATGGCGCTAGCATAGGCCCCGGGTGTGATATGAATTGAGCAGTTGTTAACTGATTGAAGTATGCTGAGTTAGGAAATTTAAGGACAAAAGTAGTTAGTGACAGTGTAATAACAAGACCTACTACTACAAGACCTAATATTGTCAATATAACCGAAAATTATTGCTATGGTAAAACGTGGAGATATCGATTGTGAATTTTCTTATGAGCTTTAAATAATACTATTTGTGATTTTGTAGTACTCACTGTAATAATACATTGTAATAAATTGTAAGCAATATTTTCTTCATTAATTATTAACATGAACTTTTGCATATATTTAAGAACTGACATTTATGAAATTTACTTTTATTATTTTGCTTTTTAAGAACTTTTATTCTCTATTTTCTCAACTGTGTTTTGTTTATGTATTACTTCCTAAATGTTATATTGCTCAAGTGTTAAAAA